GTTCAAGGCCAGCCTGGTCTACAGAGTGAGTTCCAGGACAGCCAGGACTACACAGAGAAACCCTGTCTTGAAAAACCAAAAAAAAAAAAAAAAAAAAAGATTTATTTTCTTCCCTAACTTGTTCTCATTTAAACTATTTCTCTAGCTGTAGCTGGCCTGCCTTTGCTTCCCAAGCACTGGGACTATAGGCATTATCATGTCTGTCAAAAAAATCAATTTTATTTATTTTTAAACAACTGACACATACATAAGCACACACAAATCTTCATATCAGTGTGGTATTATTTTTGAAATTTTAATTTATCTCCTCTATTTCTGTACTTCATTATCAGAAACAAAAGATACTTTTATCTTGTTGAAGACAAGATTTCAGTGTGTAGGGTAAGCTAGTCTTGAACTCTGATCCTCCTGCCTTAGTCCAGAGCACTTCAGTTACAGGCATGTGCCATCACACTAAAGCTAATGTTGGACTGATAAAACTATGAAAATTCTCTAGCACCTAGCCTATAATCTGGATGAGAAAATATAATTAAGAAATGTTTAATAGTAGCAATCAGATTTCTTGGTTTTGGTTAAAATTTCCTTCTAAGCCAAGAGGCATATAACCAAGCTATATTTGGCTGCAATTAACAAGGTCACAGGCAATGAGGAATTAGCAATCAAATGTGGTAATGTATTCTCCTAGGTCAGGTGTCCAATAAATAAAGATCATTCATTTTATCTGAAGAACACTCCTTCTGTCTTGAACATGTACAATCAATGCAGACCATCACAGAATACTGAAAATTCACCCCCCATTAGAAAATCTAGAGAAAATGGATAAATCCTAAGATATATATGACATAGCAAAATTAAATCCAGAAGATACAAACAACCTAAATACATCCATAACAAGCAATGAAATCCAAGCACTAAGGTATAACCACAACGAAAAGCTGCCTGCCTTTGGCTTTTCACCTGCTGAAGTAAATATTAGCTATTTGCTCAATTAAAAAAAAAAAGGCCCATACAACAAACCCACAAACAACATAATTCTAAAGATTTATTTATTTTATTTATATGAGTACACTGTAGATGTGTTCAGACATACCAGAAGAGGGCATCGGATCCCATTACAGATGGTTGTGAGCCACCATGTGGTTGCTGGGAATTGAACTCAGGACCTCTGGAAGAGCAGTTAGTGCTCCTAACCACCCAGCCATCTCTCTTGCCTGACAACATAATTCTAAATGGGGAAAAATTTAAAGCATTTCTTCTAAATCAGCAATGAGACAAGGGTGCTCATTCTGCTTGAAATTTCAGCTACGGCTGAAACACATATGTGTTATAAGAACACATATGTGAGATAAGAAGAAAAAGAATACAAATAGGAAAGCACTGGTTCGTTTTTTTACAAATAGGAAAGCACTGGTTCGTTTTTTGCCATTTTGACCCAAGCTAGTATTACCTGGGAGCATGGACCCTTAGCTGAGAAAAATGCTTCTATTAGACTGACCTGCTGGCAGTTTTTGAAGCATCTTTTCAATTAAAGATTAATGCAGAAGGGCCCATCCCGGTGTGGGTGGGGCCACTTCTGGGCAGATGTCCTGGGCTGTATAAGGAAGGAAGCCAGGTGGTGGTGGAGGCAGTGGTGGAGGCAGCAGCGGCACACACTTTTAGTCCCAGCACTCAGGAGGCAGAGGCAGGTGGATCTTTATGAATTGGATGCCAGCCTGGTCTACAAACTGAGCTCTAGGACAGCCAAAACAAACAAATCAACAACAACAAAACAAAACAAAACAAAAAACCACAAGCAAATAAAGAAAAGAAAAAAAGGAAGAAAGGAAAGGAGAGGAAGCTGAGCAAACCAAGTAGCATTACTCCATGGTTTCTGCATCAGTTCTTGCCCCAAGCTCCTGATTTGCCTCAATAACTAACTATAATCTGTAAGATGATATAACTCTTTCTTCCCCATGTTGCTTTTGGTTATGGTGTTTATTACAGCAATAGAAAGCAAACTAGGATAGAAAGGAAAATGCAGATTTGTCCCTATGACATCTGACCCGTTATAAAGAAAAATCTCTAAAGACTTTAAGAGAAACCCCTCATACCTGATAAAACACTTTCAGCAAAGTAGAACGATATAAGATCAATGCATAAAACCCACTAGTCTTTCTATATACAAATAATAAACTTGCCTAGAGAGAAATCCGTAAAAGTCAACCCCCACCCTTAGCTGAGGAGCAGTTGGCGGCCTCTGGAGGAGGGAGACATCATTTTTCTTCAGTGGTGCAGTCCACGGTAGGTTGTCCATGCTCCAGTGGATGGCACCCTCCACCCATGGACACACAGAAAGCAGTAACCGGACTCTATGTGTTAAAAAGAAGTCATGAAGGTGGGGAGGAGGTTAGGGGGCTATTGCCAGGGAGGAGCTGGGGCTGGAGAGCAGGCAGTGGAGATGCTCCTAACACATTGTATTCATGAATGAAACTAACAAAGAATTAACAAACTAACAACCTAACTAGGGAGGTAAAGGAACTCTGACAAACACTGAAGGAAGAAAAACGAAGAAAACATTAGGCTGCCCATGCTTATGGATTAGAAAAATTAACATTGGAAAAAGTTTGCACTACTGAGAGCAGTTTAAAGATTTAATGTGGCAGGGCGGTGGTGGCGCACGCCTTTAATCCCAGTACTTGGGAGGCAGAGGCAGGTGGATTTCTGGGTTCGAGGCCAGCCTGGTCTACAGAGTGAGTTCCAGGACAGCAAGGACTATACAGAGAAACCCTGTCTCGAAAAAACCAACCAACCAACCAACCAAACAAACAAAAAACCCACAAACAAACAAAAAAACAGCAGTAAAATTTGTATGAAGGGCTGGTGAGATGGGTCAGTGGTTAAGAGCACTGACTGCTCTTCTGGAGGCCCTAAGTTCAAATCCCAGCAACCACATGGTGGCTCACAACCATCTGTAATGAGATGTCTGAAGACAGCTATTGTGTACTTACATATAATAAATAAATAAAAACTTTAAAAAAAAAATTTGTATGAAAGCAAAGAAAGGCCACCTCGCTAGGCAGTCCTAAAGAAGGAAGAGCAATGGTGGATGTTTCATACCTGTTCTGAGACTGCACTACAGAACCATGGTAACAAAATCAGTATGATACCAGCACCAAATCAGAAATGCGAGCCCACCTAAGAGAACAGAGGATCCATGTTGCTACGGCCATCTAGGTTTCAACAAAGGAGCCAAGGACATGCATCAGAAGAAAACCTCTTCAGCAAACAGCAGGGAAAACTAGAGACCCACATAGAGAAAAGTGATCTAGAGCCATACCTTTTAGTCTACATGAAAACAAATTCCAACAAATATAACAAACTCCAAATGTGTCAATGACCTTAGTAGACCTAAAAATCTCACACTGATGGAGGAAATCACATATATAACATAGGAAATCATTCTAAACTGTGACAAAGGTTCTGTGCAGAAAACAATCAGCAATAAAAGATAACTTACAGAATAGAAAGGGGCTGGAGGTGCGGCTCAGTGGTTAGGAACATATATACTGCTCTTGGAGGGACCTGAGTTCAGTTTCCAGCACCTATATAGGGTGGCTCACAGCCACTCTTAGCTCCAGGAGACTTGATGCTGTCTTTGGGAATCCTCAAGCACCTGTCCTTATGTACACACTTTAAAAATATTGTGTGGTTGTTTTCTGTCAGTTTGGCAGAACCTAGAGTCACCAGGCAACATCAATTGGGCAATTGCCTCCATCATATCGGCCAGTGGGATGTCTGTGGGGCATCTTCTTGACTGATGATTAATTCAATAGGATGCAGCCCAATGTGGGTTCTTGGTTGTATAAGAAATCAGGTTGAGCAAGCTCGGGAGAATAAGTCAATAAGACCTCGCTCTAACGACCAGGCTGGCCTCAGACTTAAGAGGGCTGGAGTTAAAGGTGTGTGCCACCACGCCTGGCTTAGGACAAAAAAAAAAAAAAAATTAAAAAGAATGAACAAATCTTTCCCAACTATACATCATATAACTAGCTTTTGTGAGTTCTCTATATATAACCTAATATAGACAGAGTATATAGGGTACTCTCCAAGATGGATGATGACATAGAAGAGTCACGAAAGGTACCAACCCTCAGCCCCAGATCGTCCAATCAATGAGAGGGCCAACAAAACCTGAGTAAACAGCTCTCAGAAGAGAAAACAGCAGAACTGTTCACTGAACTGAACACTGAGAAGTGTGCACATTCTTAGCCATCAAAGAAAGGCATACAAACTGCTCTGTAGCCCCAGTCAGAATGGCTACCAGGAAACCAAATAGCAATAAGTGCTATCGTGTATGTAGAGAAAGAGGAATCTTTATGCAGTACTGGTGGGAATGTAAACTGGTATAGCCACTGTATGAAGGCTGGGAAAAAAATTGAAAACAGAACTACCAATTAACCCAGCTATACTATTCGAACGACTCTAAGTCAGCACAGTACAAACATGCTCGGACATCCACGCTTATGGCCGCTCTATTCACAACAGCTAGGAAATGCATCAAGCCTAGGTATCCATCAAAGATAAATCAGAAAAGGGATTGTACATATACACAGTGCAACTTAATTTAGTCATAAAGGAAAGAAATCATGGGATTTACAGGAGATGGAAAGGAAATCATCATGTCGTACAAAATAAACCAGGTTCAGGAATACCACATTTTCTCTCCCTATGGGTGTGTGTGTGTGGGGGGGGGGGAAGGACTGAAAAGGACACTATGATAGCTAGGAAGAAACTTTAAGGGGTACAGAAGGTCATGGAGCTCACAGGCCATGGAAACAGGAGGCTTGGGAAGGGACCAAAGGGGACACAGCAGGGAAGCAGAGCAGAAAGGAACAAAGGACACTGAGAACAGGTCGTAGAAAAGCTCACTACTCTGCCAATGCACACAAACCAGCAACACCCCAAAACCTGGCAAACAAAACACTAGACTGAAGGAAAGAAAAACCAGTAAGACTTAACACTTACTTTCACAGCTTTATTCAATGAGTAATAGTTTCCTTGTAGAAAACATACGATTTTTACCAATCAGATAATATTCTATTAAGAACAAACACATCTGCACACAGTGGCCTTGTGAGGCCGAGAGCTTTACATCTAAGCTCATGAACAGGTCTAACAGCAGTACCTATCACTCACTGTGGGCGGACTTCCCACTGTACAAACCAGCCTTTCGCAGGAAGTGGTTCTGGGTTTCAGAGTAACGTTAGAACATATTTCCTGATTGAGGACAATTGCCTGCCTTCTGCCACATGTACTTGTATCTGTGAGACATTTTGCATTTACCAGTGTTCCTGCCTACCCCAGAGTTAGTCACAGAGTCCTGATGAACACAGGTTAATCCCAATCTTGTCAGACTATAATTACTCACCCTTTCTCGGACTTTCCTATTTCTTGTCTCTTTATTTTCCTTCCCCCTTTGCTTCATCTTGATTTCTATAAAAGCATCTGCAGCATTTCAGGGCCAAGCATGGGCCCCTTTCCACTAAGGGAAAGTCTTCCCAGTGCACCCGCAGGAACCCGGGTTTTGACCCTTCTACAGCCTTCGTCAAATATCTGACTCTTATTGTTTTCCTGGGTAATATTAAATACCTTTTTACAAGTTCTCGAGTTCCCTTCCCTTTAGATTGCCAACTCCTTGAAGACAGATTCCTAGCCTGCATTTCTGTGTCTCTCATAGGCCTATGTAGCACATGTAAGTGTCTTGGTTTTATATATCGTTAGCATTTCAGCATTTTCTAGAACTGATCTTTGTTCTTTGTGGAAACACAGAGTAGTAGGTCTCAGAACTCATCAACTGATGCTGTGTCCCAGCTGCAGGACAGCAGCTGTTCCTCCTGAGGGAACTCAACCTCAACGTCATACACAAAACTGGGGTCATCTTTCCTCTTCTGATTTTTCTCAAAAAGCTCATCCATGATGCTCTTCTTTTTGGCGAGCTCCTTGTCATCCAGTTTGTTCAGGTCTTCCTCGGGATCGATGGTTGTTTCCCGTCGAATCTGTTCCATTGTTTCTGTCAAGCTCTGCCCCTGCAAGGAACCTCGTAAAAACACAAACAGCTTTTCTAGCTGCTTCAGGGACACCTGTTCCAGGTAACTCCTGTGCCGGGGGTTATTCTTTAATTGTTCAGCAGCTCTGGTGCAATCTAGGAAGAAGAAAATTGTTTGTACTACACCCATCACACCCATCACACCCATCACGAACTATTGCAAGGACTAAAACAGACCAAAACCCTGAGATCACTAGCTCCAAGGTAACTGGCTAAAGGAGTTTATTAAATCAATAATGCTTGAGAACTGTTCTTTTATAATCAATTGAGTTTTAAAACTTCTCTGTTACACATGCTGTTGCTGGCAGCCCTCCCACATTAAAACATTCCACCCTACAAAGAAGTTCCTTCAGACAAGAAGAAAACAATTCAAAATACTCCAGGAAATCCCTAAAACTGACCAAATTCACTAGGTCCCTCCCTTCCTGAGGATAAACAATAAAGACTGCAGAGCATCACTCTCAAAGGAGTTAAGCTACACAAAAGACTCTTGAGACCTGCCAAACAGCCTAAAAGAAACAAAAGACGCTCTCCATCCTTTTGAGCTGCCTGCAGGCTAAACAGTGAGCTCCAGGTTCCCAGCTTTGTGAGCTGTCAACCACTGATGCTGGGGTGGACCTTGGTGATACAGCTGTTTTCGAGTTACTTCTGGTCCCGTGAGCAACCCCTCACCCATATTCCTGTAAGTAACCCCAATAAAGCTTGTTGGCTCATCAAATTGAACTTCAATGGTATTCACACTTTGGTCATGGGCTCACTATCAGGGATAAATACACATATGTTGAAACACATATGTTGTTTCAGCCTAGGAGAAGCTTGTCGTACAGCACACACATGCCTGTAATCCTAGCCTATGGAAGAGTTGGGAGGAAAAAATGTTTGAGGCTAGCCTGGACTACTTAATTAGATCCTGCCTTAAAAGCAAAAAATACAACAGGCTGAGTTTGGTGGTCCAGGTTTATAACTGTTTCTCATCCCAGCATTAAGAGGCTGAAGCAACGCTGGGAGATCTATCTATCTATCTATCTATCTATCCATCTATCTATTTTTACTTTAAATGTTGAGTGTTTGCCTGAATGTATTTATGCTTATGTGTACTATGTGTGCAGTATTGGCAGAGACCAGTAGAGGGTGCTGGATTCCCTGGAACTGGATTTAGAAGACTGCTATGAGCTCCCATGTGGGTGCTGGGAACTGAACTCAAGTCCTCTGAAAGAACAAAGAGTACTCTTAACTGCTGAACCATCTCTCCAGCCTCAATAAAACATTTTAAACCTAACTTTGGTGTGGAGAGAAAAGGATGGATTTTTTTTTCCTTTTCTTTTTTACTTTCTTAACATAAAATTACTTAGTAGAGATGTTAAAAACTTTCAGCTGAAGACGCTGTCTAAAGAGAAAATATGGCACGGTTTTATGTGTTTTAGAGACTATGCAGCCTCTGCTGGGCTAGAGCTCACTAAGTATGACCAGGCTGGCCTCAAACTCACAGAGATCTGCCTGCCTCTGTCTTCTGAGTGCTGGGACTAAAGCTTTCTCTATCCCCCCGCCAAAAAAAAAAGAAAAAAAAAAAGGCATAGCTCTTAAAAGGCAGCTGTGTGACACTAATAAATGATAAATTTGTTATCTACAAATAAAAAATACTCAGAGAAGGAAACTTAGTATCATTAAACAGTAGTATATCATTTAACTCATATAACTATTCTAAAATATTATTCACCAATTCTGTAACTGTTAAAAAGTATAGATTGGGAAATTGTCTTAATTAGGGCTTCTATTGCTGTGATAAAACACCATTATCAAAAGCAGCTTGAGGAGGAAAGGGTTATTTCACTTACACCTTCATATCACAGCCCGTCACAGAGGAAGCCCAAAGTAGGACCTTAGGGCAGGAACCTAGAGACAGGAGCTGATGCAGAGGAGTGCTGCTTACTGGCTTGCTCAACCTGCTTTCTTAGCAGCCTGAAGTGGCCCCACCCACAGTGGGCTGGGCCATCTCACCTCAGTAATCAATCAAGAAAATGGACCACAGGTCTGCTACAGATCAATCTGTTGGGGGCATTTTCTCAACTGACATTCCCTCTTCCTAAATGACTCTAGCCTGTGTCAGGTTGACCTAAAAATACCAGCACATAAACTGAAGTCTATGAACAATAAGTGATTTCACAAAGATCACAGGCCAGTCCTGCTGATTTACACCCACCCAGGGTTGCTTAATTCTGAGGAACCTGTCATTCCATTGCACAAAACTAAAATATCTTCTCTATCTTCCCCTGCTCCCACCCCTCCCCTCCCTCCCTCCCTCCTCTTCCTTTTCCCTCTCAGTGGGACTGGATCCAGGAACCTGCACGCTAGGTCAGTGTTCCACCTCTGAGTTACACGCCCTTCCCAACCCACTGTTTTTGGTTTTTGCTTTAATTTTGAGGAAGGTTATCTCAAGTTATCCAGACTTATTTTGCATTTGCAATTTTCCTGCCTTAGCTTCCTACACTGCTTGGGTTATAGGTGTATGTCACCATACCTGATGATGTCAGGTTATTTTTATTAAGTGACTTAAGAATAAGGAAGACAGGAGGCAAGGGCCGGAGAGATGGCTCAATGGTTAGGAGCACTTGCAGGGTTCCCAACTTCAGCTTGTAACTATAGTTGCAGGGAATCTGATGCCCTCTTCTGGTCTCTGTAAACACTCACTCACATGGACACATATACATAAATAAAAATAAATTGAAAACTAGACAGGAGGCAAGATAAAACAAGGGGTACCTGAGAACTTTGAAAAATTTCGGACAGGCATGATGCGCTGGCGGCTCTTTCCTTCAGTTTCATTCTCATAAATCAAGATCATAGCTGGAGGCTGGAACCTAACTCCACATTTCTTGGCAATGTATTTCATCTTCTTGTGTAACTCAGGGTAAACTGGAGGAAATCTGATACAAATAGGACAGCTGTACAACAATTTCCTGAAAAAGGACAACCAAATCGAGCTAGGTGTTGAATAAATCCTTTCCCCTTCTCCTCAGTGGATCTGGCTGTGGACTAGCCCCAGGTCTATATGCTTACAAAATCTGAGACTTGAGGGTAGCCCTGAAAGTTCAATTTGGTCCAGGCTAGCCTCAGTTCGTTGGATCTCTGAGTAGGTAATGCCATTCAGTCTGAACCCCTTAGTGTGCTGCACTGGTCCCAGAGATGACACACGGACCTCCTGGGAACCCAAGAACTGACCTGGTGGCCTTCAGAATCATTTGGATGTTTCTTTCTTTCTTTCTTTCTTTCTTTCTTTCTTTCTTTCTTTCTTTCTTTCTTTTTTCTTCAAGACAGAGTTTCTCTGTGTAGCTCTGGCTGTCTTGGAACTCTGTAGACCAGGCTGGCCCCGAACTCAGAGATCTGCCTGCCTCTGCCTCTCAAGTGCTGGGATTAAAGGCATGTGCCACCACTGCCTACCCCACACCAATTCTTTTATTCATCAAGATTTATTTCTACTTACCATGTATTCTTCCTGTTAGTCTGTTTGCTCTAGGAAGGCAGGAAGTGTGTCCATTTTCATTAAGCTCTTAGTACATGTCTGGAACATAACAAGGGCAATGCTTGTTCAGTGCTGTGGAGTGACACAAGTGAGGTTCGTATATATCATCCTAGGGCACTGGGGCAGGAGCTAAACGCCGTTACACAAGTTAAATAATATGAAGCACTGTTAACTGTTACTACAATTGTTAGTTTGTGTTGAGGTCTCTTTAAGACCATGAAGGGCAACATTTTCACAGGCCCTTCTCTTACACCTAGCAGGCTGAGGTAGAACTGTCAGCCCTGCCGGGCAGTGGTGGCATACGCCTTTAATCCCAGCACTTGGGAGGCAGAGGCAGGCGGATTTCTGAGTTCGAGGCCAGCCTGGTCTACAGAGTGAGTTCCAGGACATTCAGGGCTACACAGAGAAACCCTGTCTCGAAAAAACAAAACAAAAAACAAACAAACAAACAAACAAGAACTGTCAGTCAGCCCCTTACTGGTAATTGTCCAGACTCTGATTTCCTTCCTTTATTTCTGTTTCTCTGAGGATACTACAGAGGCACAGCTGAAGACAGCCATCACTACGAGCACCCCACCAGCCCGCACAGGCCTTAGAGAGCAGCATGCTGAGCAGAAGCCTCAGTGAGCATTACTAATCCTTCTGCTTTCAGCAAAGACACCATGGGGCAGTCATCATGGTGGTTCCGCAGCAGGCCTGTGATGCAGATCACAGTATTCCTTTGCATGAAGGGTTGTATCATGATTGCTGCTGACCCCTGTCTCATGTCCATCTGGCAGCTCACTTCCGGAGTCACCTGGATACGCACTCATTGTGCTGCTCCAGGTGTTACGTTACATTAGGCTCATTAAAAGGCTTTTCCAGTGGCCTTTTCTTTCCTGCTTTTGATTTTTAGTATTAGCAGACCAGGCTGAGCTATCAGCACAAGGAAGACATGGTAAAACTGGCACACTGGTAGCAGCTTCCATCCTGACAGCAGCTGAAGGCCCAAGAAGGCAAGGGAAGGTTCCAGAGAGCAAGTAACCCAAGTGGAAACACTGGAGTAGAGGCAGCAGAAGCTATGAGAACTAGGTGCTGAAGAGTTTCAGGAGGCTTCCGGGCCTTGAGCGATAATACTAGCCTGTAGGGTTAAATGAGTCCCATATCTGCTCCACCACAGGCTGCTGGGGAGGCGGAACACGGGAGTTTTGACTGTGCTTACTCCACGCCGGCTTACCCAACACATGGCTCACCCTGGGCAGGTGTCAGGCTATGGGAAACCTTGGGACACCCCACTGGGGGTGAGGAAGCACAGTCTGAGGTCCAGGGGACAGCCAGAGCTGTCTTGGGGGTCCCCTAGCCATTGCAGGAATGGAGTGTCTCAACATTCAAGGACCCCAGGAGCCGTGAATCCAGCAGATGTTGTCTGCTGGTGTCACTCCTAGCTGCTGGGTGCTGACCATTATGGTGTCTGGCAAATGCTTGCCAGACAGATGCCAATAGCATCCAATCCGAGCATCCAGAGCCACTTGTCACTTAGCTTCTAAATCAGGAGCACTAAGTCCCTAATCATCTAGACTGATAGTCCCGGCCTTGGACACTCAAGGGCCTGGGAACGTCTACTCAGGATTTCTATCCAGCTAGAGCAAAACGACCCCAGCCAGCTGGCCGGTAACAACCTAAGCGTCAATAGTTAAAAGGGCAGATCTGAACAGGCATAGTGCTTTATGCCTGTAATCCCAGAACGCAGCAGGCTAAAACAGTAGGATTGCCCAGAGTTCCATGACAGTAGTTTGAGAACTCTGTTCCCTTACCCCTCAAGAAAAAAAAAAAAGGATGTGTGTGAGTGTGTGAAGATAATCAGCCTCTCCATATTGAAAACAGTAATATTTATGAGGTGCTTACTTCAGCTCATTTGTCCTACTAAGGTGCTTTTCTAAGTATAAGAAACCCACATATTTCAGATTAGTACTTTCTGCTCTCTCCTTTACCCTCAGTGACAAAGTACACTCAATTACAAGAACTGCTTAGATTCTTACAATTACATAGTGGCTATGATTTGCAAATGTTGAAATTGTTAAGGTAAGGTAGCATAAAGTAATAATATCTCCATAATCTTAGTTTTGTGGGAGGCCAACTATGGGTACTCTGTATAAGAAACAAACATTGAGCCGGTCAGTAGTGGCGCACACTTTTAGTCCCAGCACTACGGAGGCAGAGGCAGGCAGACCTCTGTGAGTTTGAGGCCAGCCTGGTCTACAGAATGAGTTCCAGGACAGCCAGGGCTACACAGAGAAACCCTGTCTCGAAAAACAAAAAACAAAAAACAAAAAAAAAAAAAAGAAAGGAAAAGAAAAAGAAAAGATTATGGTCGCCGGGCAGTGGTGGCGCACACGCCTTTAATCCCAGCACTTGGGAGGCAGAGGCAGGCGGATTTCTGAGTTCGAGAGTTCGAGGCTAGCCTGGTCTACAGAGTTCCAGGACAGCCAGGCTACACAAAGAAACCCTGTCTCGAAAAACCAAACCAAAAAAAAAAAAAAAAAAAAAAAAAAGAAATAAACATTATATTTGTTCATTATAGAAAAATAGGGATAAAAGGAAGAGGTGAAAGTGAAATATTATCTAACCTCTATTCTTTTTTCTAGCTGTATATATGTATACATACATATATGCATAAATATAAATACATATATAAACTACAGTTTAGTTTTATATCATACATAGCTTCCTGTATTAAAATGCAAATTTTTTGGTTGCCAGGTAGATTTATCATACAGGATCATATTCTGTATTCTCACTCCTACAGATAGATGTGAGGTTTTTACTCCTGTGAGGTTAGTCATAATAAAGAGCTGCTTCTCATATTGCTATGCTTTGCCTTTGATCTGAGTCAATGACCAGAGACTATTCCCAGTTCACCTCACTAAAGTGTGATTGATGTTAGTAAGCTTTCCAGACACTATATGATCTACAAACACAAGCAAATGACCACACTTGTCAATAGAGTCGATAACACTGTAAGGTCTTGACTATAGAGTTTTCCTTTCAATTTCTTATTATTGTTGTTTCAAGACAGGGTTTCTCTGTGTAGCTCTGTCTGTCCTGGACTCACTCTGTAGACCAGGCTGGCCTCAAACTCTGACTGCCTTTGTTTCCCGAGTGCTTGTTTGTTTTTTTTTTTTTTTTTTGTCCATATTTCTTAGTAGCCTGTTTGTAGTGCTATATTACACTATCTTCCCACGTTTGAGACCTCACAGCCTTCTGACCTACAGTTCAGCACCAGCACTCTCTAAGCCAGCTAACACATTCCGCAGTTGGAAGGAATGACATCACATGTACCTGATAAACTTTTACCTGAAATACTTTTTTTTTTTTTTTAACCAGGGATTTGTTCCCCATAGCGCCTAAGGGGATACACAGTTCCCGATTCATGTCCTTACCAATGCAAGGCGACCCCTTCCTACCCTCCGCGACCCTTCTTACCCTTGAAGAACAGGAAGTGCAAATCTGAACAGCAGTGAGGGGGTGGTTTCCATCCTACCGCATTGCACAGAGGAGCATTCAGATCGATTTTGAGGCGAGGTGGAGCCTGACGCTGCAGGAAGCGGCGACAGCCATAGCCTACAGGAGTAACCATGGGGTGAACTCAGAGGCAGGGGGGCCAGCCCGCACGCATCCGGTTGTGGACAGGAAGCCGGGCTGAGCGCGGCGAGTGCGGTCCTATAGGCAGGCAGCTTGCCGGGTCCAGAGGCCCGCCAGGGCGCCCCAAGGATCGTTCCCTAGGCAACAGCGGGGCGCGCGGATTGCGTTTGCGCAGCCTCTCGCCCCGCCCCGGCTGGGATGAAGAGGGGCGGGACCAGGGGCAGGCCTCTTGGGAACCTGGAGTTATTGGGGGACCTGGGGTGGTTGCGCAAGCAGCGTTCTATCCCGGTCACCGGGGAAGGTGGGAGCACGCTCAGCGTGCTCAGATTCCTCCCGTGATCGCAGCTCGTCCCGCGCGCCCCTCTCGGGCGGGCGTCGGGCCCCGGCGTCCTGGCTGCCAGCGCCGTGGCCTGGCTGCTCCTCTGGGCAGCTGGGCTGGTCGGCAGGCTCGCCGCAGACTTCAGCGACGCCCCCTTCAGCGCTGGTAAAGATCAGGGGCCTGAGCGAGTGTTTGCGGAGCTGGGGCGGAGGTGGGGGAGCACTCGCGGCGCCTGGGGTACCGGAGGTCGGAGGAGGTTAGCAACAAAGGCCCTGTGTGCCCTTCCCTCCTTGTGATCTTTGCTCCGGTGTTCCATCCTGGGCTTCAGAGCCGGGCTTTGTCTTTCCGAGGCCGACTGGCCGCGCTGTGACTAAAGTACTAAACAAGTACAGCCAGCCAGGAAGCATCTTGGGATGCTTTTGGTACCTCTGAAGATGCGTTGCGCTGGCTGTGAGGCAGCGAACCCTCGGCGTCCAGCGAAGTGTGAGAACCCCCAAACAGCGAGTATAGGAGAAGGAATGAGGTGGTGTGTTGTGTGACACACTTACCAGAGAAACACGCACGCACACACGCACACAACCTATCATTCCAGAAAGGTAACCTTTGTACCAGTATCCAGTCTGGTAAACCAATGAATATTTTTTATTGGTGTTATTAGTAGGAATATGGGTGAGGGGTTGCTTACTAGGAGCAGGGATAACTCAAAAGAAGTTGAAAGATACTAGAAAGATAAAATGGATGACTCCGGAAAACTGCAATCCTGGAGCCCACTAAGCCACTTCCAGACAGTTCTTCAATCCTAACATGAGTTCCCCCCTTCCCCGCATCTCTTTTTCTCTGCAGTTACCCCCCCACAACTGTTGACTCCCTTTTATATTGTTGGTAGGACAGGCAATAGGACCCTCAAGCATCTCCCAACTTTCTCCTGGCTTCACCTTACTGAGTGACAGGTTTATCAGTGATTCACACTCTGTTTTAATGTTCTTCCCACACATTTCTAACCAGTGTTTTACTGGTTACTGAATCTTTAGGGGTTTTGTTTTTTGTTTGTTTCTTATTTTTTGATATTTGAGAAAGTCTCTCTTGGAACTTGGTATGTTGACCATGTTGAGTGATGGGACCAAAGGTGTGTGCCATCTTGCCAGTTTTGAATTTTTAGTCACTAATAGTTTTAGTGACCAAAATAAGCACGAAATCAGTTTCTGAAGATTTCTGTTTATTCCAAGTGTGTGTAAGTGAAGTCTTTGAATCTTCACTTGCCTCTCATTTTCTTGCCTTTTTTTTTCAAACTCTCCCAACATCTTCACAAAGTATCAGAGTACAATCTTCCAAGACTTGCAGACATGAACATCAGAATACAGAAGTTGCTGTATCATATATCAAACATGATTTGCTTAGCCAGGATAATGTCTTGAGATCACATGAACAGAGTCCTTTGTGTATGGAACACTTTTCTGACTGCTTCTACATGTATTAAATGCCTAGGACAGCCACAGAGAAGACTGGTTTTACTCAAAGACACAGCTATTAAATGATGGAAAACAGACAAACCAACTCCAGGGGTGAGTCTCAGCTTCAAGGATGTACTACTGGAAAGAGTTTGTAGCTCAAACTGTGTACATTTAAAAATTTTACCCCCAGCACTTGGGAGGCAGAGGCAGGCGGATTTCTGAGTTCAAGGCCAGCCTGGTCTACAGAGTGAGTTCTAGGACAGCCAGGGCTACACAGAGAAACCCTGTCTCGAAAAACAAAAACAAAAAAATTTTTTTCTTTACCTTGGACTGTTAGGTGGTTAGACTTTTCTAGCAAGTAAAACCTACTACAGTAGTTATTTAAGATTTCTTTCCCTGTGCGTATCTTCATTTTTAATGTCTTGATTTTTATAGGTGTGAGGCCCACTTGTTCTGAAATTATTTTGAGGCAAGAATTTTTGAAAGATGGTTTCCACAGGTAGGTTGCCCTCTGATTTCTACTTATATTACACTACTGTCTCATAATTTACAGCAAGAAATTGATAGTTAAAATGTGGATAAACTGAAAATTTGTTTCCTTTTTTTTTTTTTTTTTTTTTTGCTTGTTTGTTTTGAGACAAGGTCTCATATAGTCCAGACTGTCCTCAAACTTGCCATATAGCTTGGGATAACCTCGAACTCTTGATCCTCCTGTTCGTCCACCCAAAGGCTGGGATTGCAGATGTATGTCACCGAGCCTGGCTTGCTTTTTTTTTTTTTTTTTTTTTTTCTCTCTCGAGACAGGGTTTCTCTGTGTAGCCCTGGCTGTCCTGGAACTCACTCTGAAGACCAGGTTGGCCTTGAACTCAGAAATCCACCTGCCTTTGCTGGGATTAAAGGCTTGTACCACCACTGCCCGGCAGGTGAGCCTGGCTTTCTTAAACTTACAGAGTAACAGATTTGTCGTATGTGGTCCATACTTTGAAATGATTAGGTGATTAAAATATCAGTGGAGAAATAGTTGCTTGCTGTGTACATATATATGTGTAATTTATTTAATTTCATTTATTTATTTTTCTTTCTTGAGACAAAGTATTGCTGTGTAGTTCAAATTGGCTTGAAACTTAGCCTTCTAACTGCTGTAATTACATGTATATACTGTGGTTCCTGGCTTATTTTGCCTTTATTTTTACTATTAATTATCTTGCCTTTTATAAAGATTACTTCTCATCATGTTAGTAATATTCCTAATACACAGACTCTTAAATTTAGAAATAAAAGACTAGTCTGCAGTGGTGGTGCACACTTTTAACCTCAGCACTCTAGAGGCAAAGGCAAGCGTGTCTCTGAGTTAGAGGCCTGCCTGGTTTACTGAATGTGGTTTATTTACCATTTAAGTAGTTATTAGATTGTGTGCTCTTAGTTTGAGTTCACTGCTTCCGTTTCTTCTTCACTGTCAGTCTTTTCTTCTTTTTGTTGGCTTTCCTTCTTTTTGTGCTCCAGGTTTCATACTCTTCTGCTGCTGACTCCGACTCCTTGGTCTCATTATTCAGGTTCTAATTGCTTTTAATTAGACATTCAGAAATTTTACATCCTTAAAAATTAAAAACAAACAGACTTGGGCAGTGAAATGGCTCAGTAGGTAAAGGTGCTTGTCCCAGGACTAACATGATGGAAGGAGAGAACTGACTCCCACATGCTGTCCTGTGACCGACACATGTTAACCATCACAGGTGCATGCCGGCACACACACACACACACACACACACACACACACACACACATTAAATAATTATTAAAAACTCTTCCCTTTCCCTCATAAAGTTTTTGTTTATCTTTAAATCCTTGGATATATTAGGTATATTTACAGATACGTTAAATTTATTAGATTTATTCATTCTATTTATGTTTTGTCTGCATGTATGTGTGTGTGTACCACATGCATGCTTGATACCCATGGAGGACAGAAGATGGATGGCATTGTATACCCCAGAACTAGAGTCACAGACAGTCGTGAGCCACCACGTGGGTACTGAGAATCAAACCCTGGCCCTCTGTATGAGTAACAAATGCTCTTAATCTATCAGTCATGTCTCCAGTCCCATAGAAAGGCTTTTAAGGTCCACTTGCCATTCCGTTTCATAGTATCACAAAGAAAAGAAGTTTGCTTTGGCTCCTGTTTCTGGAGATATAAGGTTGAAGTATGTCTTACATTAGGGTTTCTAGTGCTGTGATAAAGACTATGAATCAGAAGCCACATGAGGAGGAAAGGGTTTATTTCATCTTACAACTCTCAGGTCCATAGTCCATCACCAAGGGACCTCAGTGCAGGAGCCCAGAGGCAGAGACCGGGACTGTAGAAGAGTGCTGCTTACTGGCTTGTTCCACATGGCTTGCACAGTTTGCTGTCTTGTACAGCTGGCCCGGGTGGCACCACCCACAGTGGGCTGGGCCTCTGACATCAATCGTCAGTTAAGAAAGCGCCCCAACAGACTTGCCTACAGGCCAATTTCATGGAGGCATTTTTCTCAATTGAAGTGGGCTCCTCCCATGCGACTCTAGCTTGTGTTAAGTAGACAAATAGATAATAAATAATAAAAACAAAGCAGAAACCCCTAACCCACCCGAGAAGCCACGCCTGGTAGTAGTGACTTTCTTGCTGACTAGATCAAAGGTAGTATTGGACGTTGGCCTGAGGAGACAGAAACATCAGTCCGTGCTCTGGTGACTGGTATGATTCTTGCTGGTGCTCATATTGTCTTGACAATTTACATGTTCAGGAGCGTGGGATGGATGTTGACCCTGTCAAAGCTTTGTTGTTTGTAGCTCTTGTTTTCTTCCTTTAAAGACTCTTGGGATCTTCCTGCTGTCAGTTAAGGTCTTTATTTATCCGCTTTATCCTATAACCTTTTGTTTATTTAGTTATAAAGTTACGGAAGTCTTCACTTTGAGGCTAACTTATCTAAGACTTTATCCTATTGGGGTCTGTACGGAATGCCTGTGTGGTATGTATGTGTTGACTGGTCAGAACTCGAATGCCTACTAATCATGCATGAAACTTTGGAATGCTTTCATTTCTACTCCTAGGTCACTTTTGCTCAGGCTTCTGGACTTTCATTTTGGCATTCAGGAACTTCTATTTGGATTTTGGAACTTTATTTATTTATTTAATTTTAATATAAGCTCTTTTTTGGGCTTAGTTCTGTGACTTCTGGCCACTCCAGTCTCTAGCAGCCTGTTCTGCTGTTTCCGTAAGCAAAGCACCATGCTGTACTTGCATCTCCTCTGCACTGTAGTCCAGAATTTGCCTCTGGACAATTACGATTACAAGCTGGGACAGTTACACACCTTACTTTATGTCCGTGTTTTGCTTTTTTTGAGATAAGGTCTCACCAAGTAGCCTAAACTGGGTTTAAATTTTCAAAGATCCTCTGCATTGTCCTGAGTGCTGAGATTATAGGTGTGTACCCTCCTCCCCCAGTTTATAGCCTGTTTTAAATTTTTATTATTTTTATTAATTATTTTTTAATTTTATTTTTTATTTTTGTTTATCGAGACACCTCCTGGCTTAAACTAATTTTTTTTTTTTTTTTTTTTGGTTTTTCAAGTCAGAGTTTCTCTGTGTAGCCCTGGCTGTCCTGGAACTCACTCTGTAGACCAGGCTGGCCTCGAACTCAGAAATCCGCCTGCCTCTGCCTCCCAAGTGTTGGGATTAAAGGCGTGCGCCACCACTGCCTGGCTTAAACTAATTTTTAAAGAAGATTATTTTAGCCAAGGATGGTAGTGCCTGCCTTTAATCTCAGTACTCAGGAGGCGGAGGCAGGTAGATCTCTGTGAATTTGAGGCCAGCCTGTTCTACGAGTGAGTTTTAGGACAGTCAGGGCTACACAGAGAACCCCTGTCTTGAAAAACAAAAAACAAGCAAAAAGACTTATTGCATGTATATGTGTGTGTGTATATATGAGTTCCTGTGGGAAGGTATACATGAGTCCAGATAAGTATGTGAGTGTGTGCGTATGTGTGTGTGTGAATATCTGTAGGTATGTGTACACACATGCAGGTATGTGTAGCTGTGGGTATACATATATGAGTGTGGGTATGTATATATGTGTACCTGTGGGTAAGTGTGTGCAGCTGTGTATACCTGTAGGTATGTGTCCATGAGTGCAGGACTATGTGGACCTGTGTGTATGTGTGAGTGTAGGTGCCTGAAGAGAGGCGTCTAGTCTCTTGGAGCTGGAGTTACAGGCAATGTGAGCAACCTGACATGGGTGTGACACTGAACTCAGGTCCTCTGCAAGAGCAGCACTCTCTTAAGCACTGAGCCATATCCAGACCTCAGTTAATTCTTGTAGATGCTTATGAAGTAATCAGTCTTTTCCTACATAGATAACCAGTGTCAGAACCATCGCTCAAAGACACTGCTTTCTCCATCAAATCTTATTGGTTCTTCCCTCGGAAACATTAACGTAAGCGTGGCTACTTCTGGACTTTAGTCCTTCACATTGGTCTTCATCTGTTCTCACACTCGTGCTGTGCTACGGCTTTATGGCAGGAGTTATGAAACATTTAATGGGTGATCTCTTGTGGTGTATTTCATTTGACATGATGATCTACTTTGAGAAAATGAATTTGAAATATAGTGTCCATGCTATTATGAGCGTAATATAAATCTGTTTTATTTAATAACTGAGTGAGAAGATTTACATTACATATCCTTGTCTTACAGAGACCTTTTAATAAAAGTAAAATTTGGAGAAAGCATTGAGGACTTACAGACCTGCCGGCTCTTAATTAAACATTACATTCCACCAGGACTCTTTGTGGATCCCTATGAGTTGGCTTCACTACGAGAAAGAAACATAACAGAGGTACAGATACTGGGGAATTTTTAAAGAGAAATTAATATAGGAACATACGATGTGGATTAAGGTAAGATGGTAGAAAAAATAACACTGTAGTTTTGCTTAAGTTTTTTTTTTTTTCATTTTTTAAAGGTTTTTATTTATTTATTACATGTACGTACACTGTAGCTGTCTTCAGACACACCAGAAGAGGGCATCAGATCTCACTGTGGATGGTTGTGAGCCACCATGTGGTTGCTGGGATTTGAACTCATGACCTCTGGAAGAGCAGTCAGTGCTCTTAACCACTGAGCCATCTCACCAGCCCAAGTTTTTTTTTTTTTTTTTTTTTTTTCCCTTCGGTTTTTTGAGACAGGGTTTCTCTGTGTAGCCCTGGCTGTCCTGGAACTCACTCTGTAGACCAGGATGGCCTCAAACTCAGAAATCCGCCTGCCTCTGCCTCCCAAGTGCTGGGACTAAAGGTGTGCGACACCACCACCCGGCTTGTTTAAGTTTTTAAGGTACTTTTTTTGCAGTAGCATAGTAGGCATATTCTTCAACAAATGAGTGACAGTTGTCAGGACTAAGCCAACCAACCCGAGGTAGTTAATGCTTTTCAGGGGATAGTTCATAGGTCAGTGACTAAGAAAGTTAATGTATACATGTGTGTCTCAGCCTCTGAGAACGTGAAGGTTAATGAATAGCGATCAGCTTTGGGAAGAGGAAGGACACTGGCATTTTGCTTTTGTGTTGGCTGTGCCCGTGTACTTGCATCTGTGCTTGCCCCTGTATGTGCATGTGTGAAGGCCACAGGTTGACATAGGATGTGTTCCTCTGTCTATCCCTCTTATGTTTGTGGCTGTATCTCTATTACTTTCCTATTACCATGATAAAGCACTATTACCAAGACAACTTATAAACGAAAGTTTAATTGGAGTTATGGCTCCAGAATCTATGGCAGGCTGCTGGACCAATGGCTGAGAGCGCATCCATAAGCAGGAGGCAGAGCACACACTAGGGTTTGTGGAAGGTTTTGAAACCTAGAAGCCTGTTCCTCCCCTTGTGACCCCTGTGACCCCCCCCCCTTCACCTCCTTCAATAGGGACACACCTGCTAGTCCTACCACAGGATCTCTCACTGAGCCTGGGGCATGGTCCCTTTTGGTTAGATTGGCTGGCCAGCCAGATCAGAATCTACCTATCTCCCCTCCCATCCCTCACCAGCTAGCTCTTGGGTTACAGATAGCAGGACTGGTCTAGCTTTTATATGGGTTCTAGAAAGCTGAATTCAGGTCCTCAAGTTTGCTCAGTGAGTAGTTTACACATTGAAGCATCTTCCAGACCTCAAGTATTTGGGAACTAATAGCATGTTTCTAGGAAAAATGAAAAATAGTGTATTAAAGAAAAGTAAAAGCCGGGCAGTGGTGGTACACGCCTTTAGTCCCAGCACTTGGGAGGCAGAGGCAGGCAGATTTCTGAGTTTGAGGCCAGCCTGGTCTACAGAGTGAGTTCCAGGACAGCCAGGGCTACACAGAGAAACCCTGTCTGTAAAAATACAACGTCACATTTAGTAGGTTGCGGCTAAAACTACTTAGGAAGAAATTCATAATGCTAAATGACTATATAAGAAAGAAGAAAGATCTCAAGTAAATAATGGTCTGGAGAGAAGGTTCAGTGGCTGGAATCACTTGCTCTACAAGCATGAAGACCTGAGTTCAAGTCCCCACAACTCATGTAAAATCCAGGTGCTGAAGAGCAAATGTTTGTAATCCCGGTGCTTCTCTGGGGAGAAGGAAGACAGACAGAGGAGGATTGAAGGTGATTCCCAGAGGCTCACAGTCCAACTAGACAGGCACAGCAGTGTTCCAAGTAAGTTAGAAGACAAAGGCTGACATCTGAGGTTGTTCTCTTGGTACCCAAATGTGCACATGTGTGTTCTACGCGCGCGCACACACACACACACACACACACACACACACACACACACACACACATCTCAGCTAGGCTTCTTTAAGAAGAGCAAATGAAGAGGCTGAGAAATAGCTTAGTGGTAACAGTGATTCCTTGGCTTCCAGTTCACAGCTTCAGCTCCTGGAAGACCTGATGCCTGTATAATAGGGAACAGAATTATTGCAACTTCATAAGCAAGAACTGCTGGTATTATAGGCCAGTACATAAAGTTTCCACTTAGGAAAACAAATACCCTTTTAACAGTAGGTAGAATGAGCTTTGAAGTAATGAGTTCCCTTGAGGCCATTAAAGTATTGAGATAGTGGCTGAGTACTTGGTAAATCTCTTTCATGAGACAGTGGTTTAATGTGGCCACTTCCACGGTCCCTTAATGATTCATGTCTGTATAACTGTGTCACTTGCTAGTGGGTTGTTATTCTTGTGGGTAGAAGGGAAAGAACACGTAAAAAGCATATAGGGCTTGCTGTCACAGCCAAATAGGAAGATTGTAATGCTTGCTGCGACAAGGAGTTAATGCTAATGGTTTCTCTGAAGTGTATCAGAGCTTTGCATAGAGAATCTAAGAAAAGGGAGGAGTGCATGAGCATGTGTGTGTGCACTCATGTGCATACGGCCGTATATACATTCCGTACAGTATTCCTGGATGTATATGTGGGTATAATACACGAATATGTATGTCAAATGAATATTGCTAAATAAATACATTATAATACAGAATTTCACTAGTTTTTCTTGCTTATAATGTCTGCAATAGTTCTGTTTTCTATTGCGTACTACAGATTTTCAAATATCAGAATACAGCCACAGCCAGCTGTGGTAACATATGTCTTAAGGCCCAACACTCAGGAGGCAAAGGCAGCTGATATCTGTGAGTTAGAAGGCAGCCTAGTCTTCATAGAGTTCGAAGCCAGCCAGGAATACATATGTGTATTCAGATTTCCAGTATAACAAACCTCTGCGTCTCTATATTTTCTCTCTTAGTGTAGAATATGTACATTTTTTGAGACACAATAGTCTAAAGTGACCTGGAATTTGCTCACTAGGTGCCCTGATTAACTTTGAACTTGACATAATCTCAGCTCAGCTTCTTAAGTGCTGGGATCATAGGTACGGTGCACCTTGCTTGGCTTAGGATATTTATTTTTAAAATGGTTCTAAACACATTTTATTTTTGTTTGGTTAGTTTTGTTTCATGAGATAGGGTCTCACTGTGTAACCCTAGATGGCCTGGAACTCATTTTGTAGACTAGGCTATCCTTGAACTCATAGAAATCCACCTGCTTCTACCTCCCAGGTACTGGGATTAAAAGTATACATCACCAGGCTGGATCTTAGCACATTTTTAAAAACACATAATTATTTTATTTTTAAAGCTTTATTTTATTTTTAATTGTGTGTGTGTGTGCGCGCGCGTGCGCGCACGGATGTGGGCAGTGTATGGATATGTACATGCATGTGTTGGGTGCCTGTGGAGAGCAGAAGAGGGATTGGATTTCCTGGAGCTGGAGTTACAGGCAGTTGTGAGCTGACTAACATGGGCACTGTAAACCAAACTCAAGTCCCCTCTAAAAGCCACCTCTCTCTTTAGTACCTATTTAACTTAGTGTTGTATATAGGTGTGCATCCTATGGCATACATGTAGAGATCAGAGGACAACTTTTAAAAAAGATGTTTATATATTTTTTTAAAAGGCAATGTGTGTTTTATTACTATTATTTGCATGTATAAGTTACAATAATAGCCTAAGTTTTCTTTTTTTTGTTTTGTTTTGTTTTTTTTTTTGTTTTTTTTTGAGACAGGGTTTCTCTGTGTGTAGCCCTGGCTGTCCTGGAACTCACTCTGTAGACCAGGGTAGCCTCGAACTCAGAAATCCGCCTGCCTCTGCCTCCCAAGTGCTGGGATTAAAGGCGTGCGCCACCACCACCCAGCGCCTAAATTCTCTTTACAGCCAATTTCCCATAAATATTAAATTACCAAAAGTAATGGCATTTTCTAAGTTTTCAAAATGATCCTTAGATTTTTGTATCATTTGGTAGAAAAATAAACCAGGCAACCACATTTATTATTAATTTAGGCAATGTTTCCCAATAAAAATGTAGAAATATTTAAATTACATATTATAGAGTACCAACATGAAGTAAAAAATCCACAATTATACACTTATAAAAATATCTAAACACCATTCTCAGAATAAGACGTTTCTGTACAGGATTTACAGGCATCTCACTATACACTGAGTTTTCAGTGTGCTACGGAGTTCAGAGGTTCTGCTCAGATGTTCCCCAAGTCGAGTGCAGAATCTGTCTCTTCATCTGTTTCCCCAATGACTGCTACATTATTGCCTCTCACAATGTAGAGCCCCAGCACCACTTGTTCTACTCCCTGTGAAGAGCTGAACACCCGTTCATGGCTTTCATCCAAAATCAAGTTAAGAGTCTGGTCAGAACCTTTCAGTGTTCCCACAATCATTCCTCCATCAGAAGTAATGACAGCAACAGTTCGGTTGATGTAGTTCTCCAAGGCAGACGTCATGCCGCTGGGCCCGGAGGTTCCGGGGATCTGAGAGGAATCGGCAACAAGCAGACAAAACACCCAATGTTTATATTTTTATTAGTGATTTTTATATATATGCTTGTGTGGCTGTATGTGGACATGCATGTGTAGGTGTCCACAGAGTCAAGAAGAGGGTGTTGGGTCTTTTGGAAGTTTACAGGCGTTTGTGTGTATCGTCATGGAAGCTAGGATTTAAATGATGGTCTACAAGACAGAGAAGCAAACACTCTTAAACACTAAGCCTTCTCTCTAGCCCAGCGGGCAACTGTGAGTTAGCTGACTCCTTCCACCTCATATGCCAGAGTTTGAAGTCAAGTTGTCAGACTTGCTTAGCAAGTCCTTTATCTGTGGAACCATCTCTCTGAGTTTAAAAAAAATGTAATTTCCTGTTTGGTGCATACCTGAAATTTTAGCGCATGGAAGGGTGAGGCAGGAGAATTGCAGGTTAAAGGCCAGCCTGAGCTCAGAGTAAATTCTAATCCAGCCTAACTAAACAGTGAGCCACTGCCACTCTTGTGGTGGGGGAGGGAGGGAGGGAGGGAGGGAGGGAGGGAGGGAGGGGAGAGAGAGAGAGAGAGAGAGAGAGAGAGAGAGAGAGAGAGAGAGCGAGCATAATTTGTTGAAAATGGTTGATGTTGCCGAGTGGGAAATCCCTTGCCTGGAGTGTATAAAGCCCTGGTCTTGAGCCTCAGCACCTCAAAAATAAATTGTTTCTCACATTTCCACTCTATACACACCCTAGAAAGTTGCTGACCTTTGCTTGGCTTCCTGCCTGCACTACTCTGTCTTACTCAGTACCTTACTTCACTAAAAAACAGGAAATGGCTGGGATGGTACCAGCCATTTTAACCTAACACAGGTTGGTCGGTTTTTGTCAATAGTTGTTCCCTGGTCTACTTTTATTACTTCCGCATCGTATCCTGTGTTCTCTACATACAACTGAGGAATGGCGTATGGTAGGCAAGGACAGCAGATGCCTCTGCCTCTCTGTAGAGCAGTCTTTGGGTTTACTTTTTGTCTTTTTTATTTTTCTTCACATTTTTCTTCCTTGACTGATGTCTGTTTTCTCTCCCCCAGGCAGTGATGGTATCAGAAAGTTTTAATATAGAAGCCCCCAACTATTTGTCCAACGAGTCTGCAGTCCTCATTTATGCCCGGCAGGACGCGCAGTGCATCGACTGCTTCCAGGCCTTCTTACCTGTGCACTATCGCTACCACCGGCCACACGGGAAAGATGGAGACACCCTCATTGTGGTCAATAACCCCGACTTACTGATGTACTGTGACCAAGGTGAGGGCTGAAAGCAAGCAGAGAGGTGTGCGGGCCTGGTCAAGGATGGGGACAGCAAGGGCGTCTTCCTTTGTGACTTTCTTGTTACAATTTTAAACTCATATAGAAAAACCACACACACGTGTGATGTAGTGAATTGTTGTAGGCAGATGCCTGTAATTACCGCTTAGCTCAAGAATTAAAACTTCATAGGCCTGTAAGATAGCTCAGCAGGTAAGATACTTGTTGGTAGGCCTGACCACCTGCCTGGGTGTCCAAGACCCACATGATAGAAGGAGAGACCGACTCCTACAAATTCCCCTCTGACCTCCAAATTGTGCATGGTGCACATGTACACACACATACACAATGTAATATTTTGTTGTTTTGTTTTTGAGACAGGACTTCTCTGTGTAACAGCCCTGGCTGTCTTAGAACTCAATTTAGACCAGGCTGGCCTTGATCTCAGAGATCAGCCTGCCTCTGCCTTCCAGATGCTGGGACTAAAGGTGTGTGCCACCACTGCCCTGCTCTAATTTGTATTTCTTATTTAATGATAAACAGAGCCCCACCCCCACCCCACTCCCGCCCCGCAGCTATTCCATGTGTTCTTCTCTGTCACAGTCACCTCCGTGCTCCAGGGTGAGCTCACTTACTCACGCTGACACTTGCTTCCTCTCTTATTCTAAGATGTTTTAAATTTTATGTGTGTGTTTGTGTGTGTATGTGTTTCTCAGAGTACAGCGCCCAAAGCACCCAGAAGCTGGTGTTGAATTTTCTGGAGGAGCTGCCGCTGTTAAAGGCAGTTGTGAGCCGCCCACCATGCGTGCTGGAAACAAACTCAGATTCTCTGGAAGAACATGAAATGCTCTTAACCTCTGAGCCTTCCTTCTCTCCATCCCCAGCCCTCAATTGTTTTATTTTTTTTTTTTAGATTTATTTATTGTATATACATGATTATACTGTAGCTGTCTTCAGACTCCAGAAGAGGGCGTCATATCCGTTACAGATGGTTGTGAGCCACCATGTGGTTGCTGGGAATTAATTGAACTCAGGACCTCTACAAGAGCAGACAGTGCTCTTAATGTCTGAGCCATTTCTTCAGCCCCCCAGCCCTCAATTTTTAATGAGTATAACTTTTTTTTTTTTTTTGGTTTTTCGAGACAGGGTTTCTCTGTGTAGCCCTGGCTGTACTAGAACTCACTCTGTAGACCAGGCTGGCCTCGAACTCAGAAATCCTCCTGCCTCTGCCTCCCAAGTGCTGGGATTAAAGGCGTGCGCCACCACCGCCCAGCGATTATAACTGTTTTACTGGTGTTTTTGAGACAAGGTTTCTCAGTGTAGTGGCTGTCCTGGAAGTCAGGAATCTACCTGCCTTTGCCTCCTAAATTCTGGAATTAAAGTCATGCTGCACTACCACCCTTCACCCCTAGCTGAATGGGCACTATTCCTAAATACTGTAGTTTAGTCTTTCCATTGAAAAACAAAACAACCGCCAGGCAGTGGTGGCGCACGCCTTTAATCCCAGCACTTGGGAGGCAGAGGCAGGTGGATTTCTGAGTTCGAGGCCAGCCTGGTCTACAGAGTGAGCTCCAGGACAGCCAGAACTATACAAAGAAACCCTATTTCAAAAAAAGAAAAAAAAAAAAACTAACCCCCCCCCATAAAAACCAAAAAAACAACAAAAAACCCCATGTGTTGTTTTTATTAAGTCTCTTTAGTTTGTAGTTCCCTTCTCTTTTTTTTTCTTCTTCTTCTTTTTGTTGTTGTTGTTGTTGCTTTTTACCAAAATAGGGTTTCTCTGTATAGCTCTGTCTGTCTTGGAACTTGCTTTGTAGACCAGGCTAGCCTTGAACTCAGAGATTGGCCTGCCTTTGCCTCCTGAGTGCTGGGATTAAAAGTGTGTGCCACCAGGCCTGGGTGCATCTCCTTTGCTTTGAAGCTCCTTTGGAGACCGATTGATGTGGAGGTATGTTCCGGCTTTTCTGATTGATCTCATGTAATTCCTATTTCCTGGAAGTGGCTGATGACTCCAGAGATATGATCAGATTCACTCATTGTCTGGCTCCTTTGGCAATACCATAGATAACTATATGTTCTTTTATGAGTAGACATGAAATAACTGGTCATTTCACTTTTTAGAGGAAAGGAATGAGCTAAGTTCTTCCTATGTACGCCACTCTTGCCTTAAACTTGCTTTGTAGCTACAGCCCAGCCTTGACAGTCTTGATCTCTTGCCTCAGACTCCTGAGTGGTGGCATTGCTATACTCCGATGCTGTCTCCTTTTATAGTGATCTATCTCCCCTTTGCTGCTTTCTGCTCTGTTTTTAGATTTATTTTGTGTATGAGTGTTTGCCTTCATGTATGTATATGTACCACATACTTGCCTATGAATGGTTGTGACGAATGCTGGGAACTGAACCTGGGTCCTTTTTCAGAAGAGCGAATGCTCTTAACTACAGAATCGAGTCCTGCTGTCTGTTTTTACAATGGTTTACAGGGCTTTGAGACTTTTGTGCTTTGTTTCCTCTGTCCTGTGCTGTGTTTGTGGGGTACTGTATTTGTGGGGTATTGTTTGTAGGGTTCTTGCTCACCTACATTGGTGAAAGATGTTCATGAGCTTTGGGGCTCACTCTAGAGTTCTGTTTCATGTGGAGATTTGGGTAAATTACAAAACAATTCTTGCTGGACTTGGTGGTGCATACCTCTAATCCCGGTGGCTGAGATAGAAGGATCAAGAGTTTCAATGCATTTGAGGCCCTGTGTCAAAAATACAAGGGAGAAAAAGCCAGATGTTTGTATGCATGTAGAACTTGGAATGTGGAAGCAGCAGGGATCAGGAGTTGAAGACCTTCTTTGGCTCTGTTGTGAGTTCCAAGCCAATTTAGGCTATGTGAGGTTGTTGTCAAACAGCAGAATGAAACTAAAGTTCTTTTCTTTGATTATTTCTTCACTGAGCCTCAGAACCGAGGCCTTTCCTTTAGTTTGAAAAGCTCTTGAGGTTTTGATTGTTCCTGTTTTCCAGCAATGTTGTTACTATTAACTAGCAGAGGGGATTTTAATCTTCTGTTGTCTCTGATGTGAGCATTAAGACTTTTCACTCTGCTCATTTTCTTTTTCCAGTCATGTTTTCTGTTCCTTTTAATGACACCATTACTTATCTAAATAAACTTTGAAGAAGTTTTTCTCCTGAGAAAACACAGGATTCTGACACTATTTGCTTTGATCTGAGTGTTCGTCATAAGGGTGTTTGATATGGAAATTTATCAGCCTGTATACTAAAGATGTATACTTACTTTTCTGAATATAATTCAGATACTTCAAAACAGGTTTTTGAAACAATAGGTCTTTTTTTTTTTCCTGGAGTGATCCTTCAAAAAGAGGTAAGATTACATTTTTAGTGGAATTTGTTAACAAGCCTTGTTTCCATTCTGTGATCACCATTGCAACTTCATGTCTTAGGCATCCACGTAAGAAAGGACACCAGCATAGCAGCGTCTGACAGATGGTTCTGAACCATCTCCAGTGTGTGCTGAAATGTTTGGATTCTCATATCCTAGCACGAATGACTTCTGGTGAAGTGGCAAGACAGCTATAGCCTTGAGTCCAAATACAAGTTTTCTGACCTTTTGTCCCCACCCCACCCCCCCTTTTTCAGAGTTTCCAATTTTGAAATGCTGGGCTCAGTCAGAAGTAGCAGCTCCTTGTGCTTTGAAGAGTGAGGAGACCTGCCAGTGGAAAAACATGCAGTACAAATCAGTAAGATGCTTTACAGCGCTCTTAAATAGCACTGCCTCATTTCTAAGTCTATCTGGTATATTTAAAGGGTTACCGTGCTGTATTCTAATACAGAACACTTTGGCTATTTAATATTGTTTTTTTGCTACTGATGGCCACAGTAGGTAAAGTCAGTATCATTTAAATTGGGAGCTGGTAGTGTAGGGCAGTCCCATGCCTCATTGGTTCAGAGTACAACGTAGCCGGCGCCCTTTTAAAGGTGTGCAATGGCAAGGACAAGCAGTACAAATCCATTCAATTGCCTTCAGCAGAAAGACTAGAAGTTTAAGGTTTAAGGCCATCTTCGGTGATGAAGTGAGTTGGAGCCCAGGAGAGTGACTCTTTCTCCCTTAGCAACCATCAGCTGCCTCGAGCTCCTTCAGTAGCAGAGGCTGTAGAGGTAACTCCAGCTGCTGGGAGCAGAGGTAACGGCCACAGCATGTCCAGAAGTATGCATTTTACAGCTGTCTTCCACATCTTTTGGCTCTTACACTTTCTGCCCCTCTTGTGAGTTCTTAGAGCCTTGAATGGCAGGAGCTTGATGTAGATGATCTACCCATAGTTGAGCACCTGGATGTCTCTAATTTTCTGTTCCCCTCTCTCCACAGATACTTAAGAATTTGACAGTCCAGGTTCCGGTGGGACTGACTATACATACCTCTTTAGTGTGTTCTGTGACGCTGCTCATTACGATTCTGTGTTCTACTTTGATCCTTTTAGCTGTTTTCAAATATGGCCATTTTTCTCTGTAAGTTTTGTACAGTTAAGTGTTTTCTATGAATCTAATAAATGAGGTCTATTCATTTATAACAGAGTGCTCTTTTCAGAATTAACTGGTTATTTTGTCTATTTATGGTTAAAATTGTGTTTACCAGGCAGATCTCTGTCAGTTCATGGCCAGCATGGTCTATATTGTGAGACACTGTCTGGGAAAACAAATGACAAAAATGTTTTGTTTCCCAGAGGAAATTTTGGGTTATTGTTAGATAATTGAAAATTTTAGAGTTCTGTTATATAACCTTCAAATGCTCTTTGGTAGGCTAGTAGAGAAGGCTTCGTTGTGTTAAATTAATACTTAGAAGTGACTGTCTTCATTTGGTATAGTAAAATGAGTTCATTATTAGTGTCAAATTATTCTCATTTTGTGAGTAGAGGCTTTTAATTACACTAAACATAGTGACACCTTTATAATTAAGAATAAAGTAATTTAGGTGATTATTTATTTATTTATTTATTTTGGTTTTTCGAGACAGGGTTTCTCTGTATAGCCCTGGCTGTCCTGGAACTCACTCTGTAGACCAGGCTGGCCTCGAACTCAGAAATCCTCCTGCCTCTGCCTCCCAAGTGCTGAGATTAAAGGCATGCGCCACCACTGCCCAGCTAGATGATTATTTATGAAAAATGCTATCCTCAGATGATTTAAAAAAACAAAAACAAAGCCTTGATTTAGTGTTACACTTGGTGGAAGCAAAATAGGGACAGAAATGCTACAGGTTAATTAACAAACTCTACAGCTAAGAGAGATAGTTCAGTCAGTGAAGTGCTCACCACATAAGCATGAAGACCTGAGTTAATTCCCCATCACCCCTGTAAAACACTGTGCATGGTGAATGTGTATAGTTTCAGCCCTGGAGTGCGTATGCATGCATGGTGGTGTGGAGGGTTGAGAGCAGGAAGATCCCAGGATCTTCCGAGACCGACTGGTGAGCCCCAGGTTTCAGGGAGAGACTTGGCTAAAAAAAGAAAACTTAAAAACTCCTGGGAACGCCCACCCAAAGTTGACTTCTGACTTTACAGACATGTGCACATGCGCACACAGAGCCCTTTAGAATAAGAATGTTGGCTCAGTGTGGTACGTCCTTTAGGCAGGAGTCAGAGTGTATTGACATTGTTTTATGTTGAGTAATGGGAGCTGGTAACTCTTCACATATTTACAGCTTCTTACTCTACTAAAGTCTTTTAGTGTTTTTATGAGAATAAATCATTCATAATATATGTGAGTACACTGTTGCTGTCTTCAGACACACCAGAAGAGGGCATCAGAACTCATTACAGATGGTTGTGAGCTGCCATGTGGGAGCTGGGAATTGAACTCAGGACCTCTGGAAGAGCAGCCAGTGCTCTTAATTGCTGAGCCATTTCTCTATCTGCCCTAACCCCCCTTTTTTTTTTCCTTTAAGTAAAGTCCACCTTTGCTTAAGTATGGGTATGTGTGTGTACTCATTCATGTTCCTGCATATATGAGTGCATATGCATGTGTGTGTGTGTATGTGTGTGTGTATGTGAACGCGCACACACACATAAAATACAGTTGAACCAAATTTCATCAGTCTTTAAACAAAGTTAATGTTTAAGATTGTGTCTTATATAATCCAGTGCTGTATTCATTTATAGAGGTGTTGAGAAATGCAAGAGATATATGAATGACACCAACTTTGATACGAGTCTAGTTGCCTGTTCAGTAGATGACGCATGTCTGTGTTTGGCCGCGTTATATTACTGTCCTGCCACTGACACTGAGTAGGTGTTCTATATTTTCAATCAGTTTTGTAATTCTGTGTGTGGTCCTTTTTGTTTCAGGCCAAAAGAATGGATATTGTTGTCCTATTCATTATCTCCTAGGATTTGTTCCATTTTTATGATTTATTTATCTTAAAGGGTTGTGTTAATTTTTTTGGATCCAGAAAACAGAAAAAGAGCTCACCTCAAGTAGGGGTGGTGGCAGGGATGCAGGTGTATATTAATGTGTATCTCAGTCACTTTCCAAGAATATTTATGCTGGCTAGTTATTTTGGAGAGTGCTGCATGCTTGAGGAACTAAAATGATCTTCTGCAGCTCTAACGAATTGGAATGTAATGGATTTAAGGATTGTTCTAGGAAAGCTACTTATTTTAATAATCCATGTTCAGTGCTAATTATAGGAAAATAGAGTTAAGTAGCGTAGCCAACATCCATGTAAAGTGACATTCAGTCCTGTGTTACTCAAGCATGCATCCCATGTTACTAGCAGGTGGAAGAATGTAGGATTTGATAGGCCACAGAGAATAGGGTGTCACGTAGTTCCTCTGACCTCCAACTCACTATGTAGCCATTGAACTCCATATCCCCTTGTCCTTCCTCTCCCTCCCACTACTCATAGTCCTCAACTTACCTCAGCCACCAATTGCTGGAATTACAGGTTCGCTCCGTCGTACCTTTTTTTTTTTTTTTTTTTTTTTTGGTTTTTCGAGACAGGGTTTCTCTGTGTAGTCATGGCTGTCCTGGAACTCACTCTGTAGACCAGGCTGGCCTGGAACTCAGAAATCCGCCTGCCTCTGCCTCCCAAGTGCTGGGATTAAAGGCGTGCGCCACCACCGCCCAGCTGCTCCGTCGTATCTTGTACTGCAGTACTTTCTAATAGCCCCATCTTACACCAAGCTGCGGCTACACAAGCCTTCTTGTAGTTTTGGTTGTGAGCCTAGCCTTCAATGGCTGAGACATCTCTCCAGCCCTACATGGGTCTTCTTGACTGACCATGGCATTCCTCTTCCTACTTGTAATCATTTCCCCTCAGTTCTTCTGAGTTTCTTTTTGTTTTCTCTTTAAATGCCACCTTCTCTGCCCATTCTGTCCACAGTAATCCCTCAGTTTTCCTCCTTGTAACAGGTATCAATGTTTTGATTATTATGTTTTCGTATTTTTAACCTTTACAAAGACTAGGTGAAGCATGTCCATCCTGACTCTCTGGTGCCTAATGGTCTTTTGTAGATGTTAGCTATTGACATAGTTATGGAATAGGAATGCATAGGTTAACTCTTCTATTGATAAAGAAAAATAAAAAAATCTTTGTTTGTAAAGAGGAAGGACCTAATTTAGCAGCATAATCTGGTTAAATTTGTAGGTTAAAAAAAGTAAAGTGAGCTGGGGAGTGGTTCTCAGCATTCGGGAGGCAGAAGCAGGCAGATCTCTAGTTCAAAGTCAGAGGACTACACAGAGAAAACCTGTTCGAAAACCCGCCCCTCCCCCAAAAAGCCAAGTGGTGAATGGATATATTTTCAGAAACAAAGACCCTGTATACACAAACATGTATGGATCAGCTGTTCTCCGTCAGCATCTTCAGTAGGTAAAACGTAACTGCAGACAATGCAGAATGCTGAATTAAATGAGGTACAGGTTTTCTCTGTAATCCCCACTGTCCTGAGTCTCCCCAGTAGATGACTAGACTACGGTTCCCAGCAGCCCTGTGAGAGCCCGCCCCTCGGGGAATGACGCAACTTTCGGGGAGGGGCTATCTTACGGCCCCGCCCCGCGCCCCGCCACCGCCCTCCCCCAGGGTTGTGGCCACGCGCAGCAGCAGCGGTTGTTCCGCTTCCCCTCCGGCCCGGGCCGTCGCCATTGCCGAAGGCTCCTGCCCTCCCCTCCCTGGCCCAAGGGGTTCTGCGCCTCACGGCCTCAGTAGCGACGGCCGCGCCCCGCTCCTCTCCACTCCGCCCTGCCCTCCTCCCTTTCTGCTCCCCAGCGCAGTGCTCGCCCGCGTCGGCCCGGCAGCCTGCCCTGGGTCGGGCGAAGACCTTTCCTCTCTGGTAAGTGCGGACGCTCGCCCGGGCCGGGCCGAGCCGCCGCCCTCCTCCCGCCTCCGCGGCCTGGGCCCAGCGGCCCGGGACGCCGGCACCTGCGGGCGGGCGGGCGGGCCCGCGGCTCCGGGCGGTGGCTCATTGTCTGCGCCCTGGCTCTCCTCAGCTTCGGCTGAGAGAAAGCTTGCTGGGCTGTGGGGACCCTCGCCACTCCGGCCGCCCTTGCCCTTCTCTGCGACCGGCGCTGCACGGGACGACTCGGGTTTGTTCCTGGATGTTCCCTCCTTTACCAACTGCGTTCTCTGCAACCTCGTCGCTCGGGAGTCCTGTCGCGAGCCCCTTAAGTTCAGTCTGTAAACTCTTCCTCATTCTCCTCATTAGGAGAAAGTTTTGCAGGGCTCAGGAGCCTGTGCTTAAGAACAGAACTTAAGGATCTTAGAGTTTTTGCTTGATCTTCAGCCAGGAGGTGAATATTTGCTTCTTAAGGTTAACTTGGGCTGAGGTTGGCTTTTCACCATGTTTGGCTGTCTGAAACATGCGCGCCCTCACTCACACACAAAAAAGTTGCTGCAAATAACTTAGTGGACTTGGCGTTTTGATTAGTTCTACATCAAGTCATCCAAGACAGAAGTGTGTAAAATAATTGCCATTGTGGCTTGATGGGAGGTTCTCCCCATCCCCTGTCTTAATAGAAATAGAGTGGAATTGAGATTTGTTTCCTCTTTGACAAATCACCGACTCCCATCGATAGCTGCCAGGTTCTTCTTTACAAGTGACCTGTAGATTTTCTATCTTTTCATTTCTAACCTTTTAAAAAAAGACAACCAAACCGGTTAGTCCCAAAATTAGACAACGACGAGCTGTGTTTTGGATGAAGGTTGTGCACGTCACGTTTTTCCCCTGCTGTGTTCGGCTCTTCCGCTCTTATAAGTAGGCAGGATATTGAAATAAATACACAAGAATTTGCTCTAGGGATTTTGTTTTTTTTGTAGAGCTATCCAAAAGAATAGTATGAATAAAATTAAGTTGGGATGAAGGCAGTGAATAGTAATTTTTAAAGCAGGTTAGGGCATGTCAACTTTGCCAGAAGCTCTGTGGCATTTGTAGAACATTCTTGTTTGTCTCTACTCCAGTTCTTCAGTTGGTGTGTGTGTGTGTGTGTGTGTGTGTGTGTTTCATGTACTTTTACATCTATCCTTTGCTTTTTCTAGACAGAGCTTCATTCCAGCTCAGGCTGTTGTGACACTCTTCCTGTCTCAGCCTTATGTGCTGAATTACAGTGTTAGCCAACATATTTGGCAGCCTTTGTTTTTAGATCTTTCTAGAGATTAATTAACCAGGAATGCTATTATACATTTGCATCAGGGAAACTGCATTTTATATTGTTGCTTGGATAGATAGATAGATAGATAGATAGATAGATAATGTAACTTTTGGGTTTTGGTAAAAGATGTTGCCCTAAATTAAAAATGTTTTGTTCTTGTTTTACTAGTCTATTATTACCTTTCTCTCGACCAGGCTGTGGAGGGAAATGGATTAGTATCAATTACTGCCATCCTTTGGTACTATGAATTGTTCTTAGGTTAATGAGTTGTCTTGACACTAGGGATTTAGGTGTAGAAATGCCAGGGAATGAAAAAGTACCTTGAAGTTAGATTCTGCTATTTCTTTGTTTTTTAACCCCTGTACTGGATTGAACCACAGACCTTCCTGTGGTGCAAGCACTCCATCACTGAGCTACAACCCCAGCCCTCTCTTCACTTTTGAGACAGTGTCACTTAGTTTCTCAGGCTACTATTGCACTCCCTCTCGACCAGGTAAGCCTTGAATTGGTGTTTGTTCTCCACCTCCCTAGTAGCAGGGATTGCAAACCTATGCCCACAGAATGTCTCATTTCTTTCCAAAAGCAGGTGTTTGTTTATTTTTCTTTTGAGAATGGCTCTTTCTATGATACCCAGGTTTATTTCAAACTTCTGGACTTAAGATCTGCATCAGAATCCTAGTAAGTGAGATTACAGATGTGCACCATTGTGTTAGGCAAACAGACATGTTTTTAAAAAAAGAATTCTTGGGTATTTCACTTTTCTTGGGGCCTTGATTCCAGATTTACCTTTTGAGAGAAAGAGATTAATTCTTCTGGGCTTTGTGATACCAGCTCTGAAACCAAAAATCACAAAGTGATAGTTTTTAGTTGATATATGTCTGATAAAGGGTTCTGATGTTTCTTTGGTCTTTATGATAGACAAGTTTCCAAGTAGACATGATGAAGGCTAGTTTTGCATGTTTTAAATTAGGAAACTTAAAACTTGTTCTGGTTAGCTAAGGATAAACTCTGAATTACACTTTCATAAAATGCAGGAGCTTGAATAAGTTGCCAAGTATAAAACAAGTAGCTATGGTTGAATCCTCACTGTCTTCATCAGTATTAGTTATTACAGTAATAATGTTCAGCATATAGTTCTTTCTGTGTTCTGGATTTGGTTCAGATTGGACTGTGTTCAAGTCTTGAGACTAAATCAGGTCTTTCCTCAAGCACTTCTAGTTACAGAATTAACTGATTGTTGTCTAATTAGAGGCAGGTTGTTACTTGTAAACTGTGCTTCTGAGATCTCATATGTGAAATTTCTAATTTTTTAAGTATTTTTTTAACGTGTATGTGTGTTTTGCTTGCATGTGTGTGTATGTTCCACATGGGTGTCTATGAAGGCAGTATAGGGTGTCAGATTCCTGGAACTGGAGTTACAGACAGTTGTGAGCTGCCAAGGGTGTTAGGTGCTGAACTGAGCCATCTTTACTGCCCTTTTTATTTTTTAAGCCTCTGTAGAAGCAGAGAGAGAAGGTAAAAATGCCCCTAATTATAAATCAAGAAATACTGTTTTCTGTGATCAAAAGTAGAATCACTGCTTCTTTTCCTTTCTTTCTTCTTTCTTCCCTTTCTTTTTTGTTTGTTTGAGACAGGGTTTCTCTCTGTAGCCCTGGCTGTCCTGGAACTCACTCTGTAGACCAGGCTGGCGTCAAACTCAGATCCACCTGTCTCTGCCTCCCAAGAGCTGGGATTAAAGGTGTATACCACCACTTCCTGGTTTGATTATTAGCCTGGACATTCATTCAGTATTGTAAAGTTCTTTTCCTGTCTTGTGTAGTGAAACTTGCTCTGTGTGTTTCAGGAGCTGGAGACCTCAGTTTGAATCTTGGCTCTTCTAATTGATCTTGGGCAAGATAGCTTTTTTTTGTTTGTTTGTTTGTTCTTTGGGACTCCACATTGGAGCCTGGTGGACACAGTTATACACAACTGAAGACTGATGGTGCCTCTCTTAGAATCCATCAGTAGCCAATAGTTTGTCAGGATTGTATAAGGCGACACCTCAGCCTCTTCCAGATCCATGAGTAACTATTGATAAGGCTAAGATACTAATTTTGCTTTCTCATCTATTAAATGTAAAAATAATACTGTAAATGCCAATTTCATAGAGCTGTTTAAATCAAATGAGATAATACACATACTGAGCAAGTGGAATATTTTAAGTGAATAACAAACAGTAGTTTTTTAGTTTGATCTTAACGATACTTTAAAACTTAGATCTGGCCGGGTGGTGGCGGCGCAAGCCTTTAGTCCCAGCACTTGAGAGACAGAGGCAGGCAGATTTCTGAGTTCTAGGCCAGCCTGGTCTACAGAGTGAGTTCCAGGACAGCCAGGGCTACACAGAGAAACCCTGTCTCGACAAACAAAAGCAAAAAAACAAACAAACAAACAAACAAACAAAAACCAAACAAACGAACAAAAAAAAAAACTTAGATCTGTAGGGTTTTTTGTTTGTTTGTTTGGTTGGTTGGTTTTTGTTTTTTTGGTTTTTTTCGAGACAGGGTTTCTCTGTGTAGCCGTGGCTGTCCTGGAACTCACTTTGTAGACCAGGCTAGCCTCGAACTCTTGAACTCAGAAATCCACCTGCCTCTGCCTCCTAAGTGCTGGGATTAAAAGCCGTGTGCCACCACCGCCCGGCTAGATCTGTTTTTTAAACTGAGCATGGTGGTAACAGCAGCCACTCCTGTGTCCATACCTGTGGTCACAGCACTTGAGATATGAAGTTCATTCCCTGTTCCTTAATTTATGGGAAATTCAGTCAGCCCAAACACAGGAGATTCTGCTCTACCAAAAAAATAAAAATATAAAATAAGATTTTGAAGCTTGTTTAATGGCCAAGTATGACACAAGTCTGATATCTCAGCATACAGGAGGCTAGCAGAAGAGTTTTGAATTCGTCCTGGGCTACTTAAACCCTGCTTCAAAAATGGCTTTCTAGGGGAAGTTGGAATCACACATCCAGGGATTAAAGTTGCGCGCTACCACCACCACCTAGCTAGATTCTAAAAAAAAAAAATCTTAAATATAAAAGATATACATATTTCTCATTTAAAATGTATAAAGTAGTGGACACTATTAAGCAGTACAAAAATTACTTTAGTCTCAGCTGTCAGAAGTAACCACCATAACAGTGTAGAATAGATTTTCTTATTTTAAAAATAGATTCTGAAAGTAGTACATAAAGGTTCAAGTAACTTGATTATTTAGAGTAAAAGGTGAAAATTGCTATTTTCTCACATTCTAGCTCCATTCCTTTGATGTATCCACCCCTAGCAATTGTTAACAGTTTTACGTTTTTCCTAATTTCATTTTATATGTCTTGTTCCCTGTATGTATGTCTGTGCTTGGTGCCCTCAGAGACCAGAAGAGGACTTGAGTTGCAGAGAGTTGTGAGGTGCCATGGTGGTGATGGGGATTGAACACTAGTGCTTTGGAGGAGTACTCAGTGATTTTAATTGCTGAGCCATCTCTCCAGTTCTCCATTGTTATTTTATTTAATAAGTTAGAAGTAAGCCTCTGTTTAGGGCGTGTACTTTTAACTTGATTTTAATTCTTTTGTTTGGTGTTCTTGAGACAGTCTGAGTATGTAGCCTGGTCGGCCTTGACTCAAGGTGATCCCCCTTTTCAGAGCCACTCAAGTGCTAGG